GTTATAACGATCGTGTCGTGATTCCACCAACACACAGAAGTGCCATTTTATCCGATTTGCATTCCGGACATTTAGGCATCGACAACATGAAGTCGCTTGCCAGACTTACTTGTAAGTGGCCAGAGTTGGATGCAGACATTGCGCGTACGGCTAAGGATTGTATGAATTGTACACACAAAGTTCATTCCAAACCATCCAAATGGATTCCTTGGCCATTGTCCCGTGAAACTGGCAACGCATTCATGCAGATTATTGCGGTCCATTTTTGAACAAATATTATTCACTGGTGGATGTAGATTTCTATTCACGCTGGACGGAAGTATTTCTCATGACATCCCCGAGTTCCGAGTTTACTCAGTATGCTTTGAGGAAACTATTTAGTCGTGAAGGTGTACCAATTGTTTTGGTCACTGATAACGGCTCACACTTCACAGCGAAATCTCTTGAATATTGGTTAAAAGGACTTGGTTGTCGTCATTTATTTACTGCTCCCCGTCATCCACAGTCTAATGAACTTGCTGAAAATTTTGTTCGAACTTTGAAACCTGCCATCAATTCTATTTCCTCTATTACTTTCCATGATCTTGATCGAGGCATTGATAATTTCTTGATGCAGTACAGGAATGTTGCTCATTCAATTACTGGTAAGTGTCCAGCAGAGCTATTCAAATCAAGATCCTTACGCACAAACCTCGAATGCATTGGGACTGCCGACATAAAATTTTTCAAAGGTAACGATCTACGTCTATCTACTGGTGTTGTTATTGGGAGGAACGGGAATCGTATGGTCACGGTTCTTGACCTCGAAGTTCTCTCAAGTCACAGACGGCATGTTGATCAGGTCGAATTCAATGCTATAGGTCAGTTTGGCGACAACACGTCTGTTGCTTCAGACACTAATGACCTTTCTGATTCTCTTACAGATGGTTCTGATGAGCATGAAACAAACACTGAACCTGACAATCCGACGTTGAGAAGATCTGAACCTTTGAGGTTCCAACTTATTAGAGACTATAGACACCCGCACGCTCATTCAACGTGTGGTGGATGTGGTGAACATTGACTCTATTCTATTCATTCTGTTTGGTGTATTTTTATATGCTTTTGTTTTACGATGCGATTGATAGTACGCCTGCGATATTCGAGAATATACGATATTCATTCGGCCATATTCGGACTCCTATACTACGCGTACATTCGGTAGTTAAGATACCTACCACTATTTTAATTATCACAATTTCGCGTCGAGTATCCCGATTAAAGCGGAACACTGACAGTGGTCTTTCTGAATCTGCACTGGGGATCGGTAACCGTTTTGGGGGACTCTCCTCTTGGCTGCGGTATGCATTGCCCCCTAATGTAGAGACAGCTGGCACAGACAAACGGGTCAGGAGAGTTAGCTAGTCGGCTTATCTGGTCGTCCTGTGCATTTAAAGTGCCACCAGGCCTTGCCGGTTTGGCACTGCACACCGCGTTTGACGTTCGACGGGCAGGCATTTCGTCCACATCTGTTGTGGTCTTTCAATGGCTGCAGCGGGCAATCGGAGTAAATTGATGTCATGCTTAGGATTAGGTGTAAAATAGGAAGTGTGCGCAAAATATAAAGGGTTATCTCTCAAATGTTTTGTTAGAGTAATAAAATTCAACAATTACTCGTGTGTACTCTGTGAATAGATTGAACAACGAAAAAATTCTTTCACAACTTTGCACGAGGGAAAAACGAAACGGATTTCGAACGTACCGCGGGAGGCTTTTGAACCTACCATCAAGGACGCTCGTGACTCCGGTCTACAAACTGACGGCGCTGTATAATTCGCGAGATTCTGGATTTAGGCATCTTTCCATGGGTATTTGAAATACCCTTGAAATCCTGTGACCTGTCTATCGAACTGGCCGAGACACCTATAAGGCGCGTAATTCAATATTGTCCGCTGTCTCTCGCGAATGGCACTCGATGCAGAGTTCTTGCTGAAAGTGAAGGTATTTCTCAAAATTTTCCCATAATATATGCTCTATCGGCAAGGAACATGTCACAACCAAGCTCAAACAATTGGGTGCTTTTATTGACGAGGAGCTCCCAGACTACATCATGGTGATGGTTGCCAATAAGAAGAACGAAAGCAGTATGGCTAAGGATCTACAGTTGTTTCTGGGAGAACACACTGCTGAGTTTACTAGATGGTAAGTATTCGCGTTCGTCCTTACGATTTGTAAAGGTTGCACTCAACTTTAGAGGAGCTGAAAACACCGGTTAAAGGTACAGCATTAAATAGATCCTGTTCATGTACCACCTATTTGTAGCAGCCCCTGTCGAGAAACAACAGCCTTCAAATCGTTCAAAATCTCGGCCGCAGAAGCGCAAATCGGACAAAGCACGTTCAGCTTCTGGCCATTCGCGCTCCCGGTCTCCAGTTGACCAACGGAAAACGGACAAGTTGGTTGCCTCCTCGCGTGAGCCTCATGTGGAGGGTGAACTTCTACATATCCATGCAGATGAAAGTAGGCACCCATAGCAGATTAATGCTCTCTATAGATGAGTTTATAAATGATGACATATCGTCCACTTCTCCGGTCTATGAGGTATTAACTTCATTCTCACAAGCATTTTCCCCCAGGAACGCAAGGTTGTGAGCACCTCTGTCTTGTCTTCTAAACAAGCTGCGCTGCGTGAATCTCATGAGGCAGAAGAAATGGACAAAGTCTCCACCATTCGTTCTGTCGTTAGAACTGCCCCGGTGAGTTTTTTCCCAGTGCAGTGGTTGGCATTTCACCCTGGTTCGTCAAGGCCATTTGTGGACCCTATCGTTGTTGCCCAGCGGTGCTGCCTACGGTGGTATTATGTTCATGGCCGCCGATTTCCAGTTCGAATTTCGGGCCTAATGTTATGGCCGAAAGCCGTGTTCGTACCCACCGTTCTACCATGTTTGAAGTGCCATTAAGCTATTAAGCAGAACCCAATGGAGGATGAATTTATATACCACATTTAGTACAAACAAGAGGATATTACTGTTCATTTTATTTGAAAGTGAGATGGAGGCTGGACCAACCATCGCTGTTATTTATTTTCCTTTTTCATGTTCCTTAATCACACCTCCCATCGCTTTTCTTTTTTTAGTTCATTCTTGTTGACTATCAGTGTAGTTTCGTAGGTCGCAGCTACTCAACTTGGTGGTAACACCAGTCAGTACATTGCTAGCGTGTCCTGGTGGAGCACTCTAGCTAAAGTCCCCCGTCGCTATGCGCTAGGTAAATTTCACGAAGGACGCTGTGTCACTGTTGCTGATGTCGCCATACTCGAACTTGATGCACTTTTGCTTTTTTAGTGCTGTTTCAGAGGTGTAGATGCCTTATTCTTTAAACATTTTTCTCAAATAAATATGATTTAGCCCCTACCCTTTCGTTTCCTCTTCATCGTCTAATAAATCTCCCCTCTTCGCTGTATGTCAGTCAAGCACCTATGTGTATTACTGGTGCTCTGATGTCACTGGTAACGCTGACGAACTTGAGAGAATCGCTCACCTCATTTTGTTCAGAGTACCTTTAAATTGTCCTCCGTACTTACGTGGGGCACTACGTAGTTCCACGACCAACCGAATCGAGGCACCAGATTTCTGACAGGTCTTTTGCCTTGTTTGATGGAGGATGCTTATGTTTGAATTTCCTGAGAATATTAGCAAATTGTTCCAACGATACATGCAAACTTGTCTACACACTCAGCAAGTGAAAAATCAACAAGAGTGACTCACTTCCTCTTGGCCGGCAGGAACGTCAGGATTACTGGACCACACTTCAATTAGGGATTTGCTAATCATTCTGGTTTCCGACTGTGTGCGTAACTCTCGCCGGTGACTTCACTGCCCCTACCGTTTTTTTATTTCGCGAATGGGTTTTTCTACCCATTCAATGGTGCTGTCCTGATGGACTTTGTTCTATAACGGTGATGAAATCTTCAGTGAAAATTTGCCTCTCTTCGATCGGTGGAGGCTGCAGCCAACCAACGCGAGCGGATAATAACCAGTCTTTAAATGGTAGTGAATGCAGTGGCCACAGGAATGTTCACTTGATCACCATTGTAAGAAAAAAACAGCACCACATGATCCAATTCTCCACGGCATGCAACTGAATGATCAAGAAACCGGCGGCCCCCGTTTGAAATAAGCATATAAGTTATCTCTCCTTGTCCAGTTTTAGAGACTCGGTACCCATAGAGACTGTCCACAGTACCATTCAGGTCTTTTGGGTTCTTCGAGAGATTGTGTTGCAGAGGGCCATCTGAACGTTTTTTTCACCGTGTGCATTCCGTTACTCAAAAAGACGATTCTTCGAATCATATACCCTTTGATTTTACAAACAGTTTCGGTGACATCCCGATTCTCGAGCTAATTGGTTTTATCAGCTTACGTAGGGTGCGGTCGCCTCTTCCTATATTCCTAGGGCCTTCACAGTTCACCCGCGTCCTTGTACGTTCTTTATGCTGCTTGATATCCACTTTTCTGACTGGGTATTTGGATATACAGGATCGCCTATCTTTTTCATTTTTCTTCCTAAGGGCCTCCTACGAGAGGTTTTCTGTGTTTTGATAGCGAAGCCCCAACATAGATCCTCTTATTACTTGCCCATCGTGGTAATTTTTGTGTGGTACTAAGGCTGACATCACGGCATCAGAGCACCCTGGTATCACTGTCAGTGTGGTTGATGATGACGGTGGTGGTTATGTTCTAGATGAAATCCATAGGCACAGCAAATTTTCGAGAATCATTTTTACTTCATCCAAAGCGTCTTGGTCAACGAAATCTCTGTTGGTTTTAGTGGCCGATCTGGGGCAATCGTATGTGTCATGTTAAGGTCGTGTATCTGGCGTGATCGCGTTTAGTTATGTTGTATCTACCTTAAAGCGCCTTAGGTACAACCTCCTACACCTGGTCTGTTGATTTATTCAGCCTTAGGTTTTGTGGTCGCCCCACTATTGTGACTTATCTTGACTATTTCTAGCTTGAAATGTTCACTGAAATGTCTATTCTCTTTGTAGACTAAACAACGTTCAAAGGTTGATCGAGCTGCTGCCAAGCGCCTGCAGCCATTTGGACGTCTACTCCAAAAAGCTGTCATTGAAGCGAGAAACGAGGTGCAAAAGCACACATCAACGAGTGTATCCTCTGGTTATGGTTCGCTGTGAGTCATTCAAACTGTTTGGTTGAATTAAGGCACATCTCTGGTTGGGTTCTTTGTTCAATACTATTTTAGCCGGTCAGTGTTCCGAAGACTGGTCACTTGTGTTGGTAGCTTAAAAATAACTCAAGGTTATTGAACATCAGAACTAGCGAAGACGTCAGTGCAAGATTTTGGCAACTTTGTTGGGTAGGCTTTAGGTAAACTGAAGAGACGGA